GCGGGGGGGGGGGGGGGCTGCAGCTGTGGGCTGAAACCACGGCTGTGCTGGGCTCTTCTCAGCTGGGACTGGACTCTCCACTCTAGACAGGGAATACCTGAAACATATTCACTGTGTGTGCTCTTATTCACTTGGCTGCGTGGCTGTTTCACTCCCGTAAGTCCTGCAGAATCAACCCAGCTCTGGAAAAAAGAGCTGGACCCTGAACCTCTCGGTGCATGGTTGGCAGAATCATTTGTGAAGATCTAGGTTCAAGGCCAAGTCTGCTGTCCGTGACACTTGGGAAGCTGCTCAATGGCATGAAAAACATTGAGATAGAGCTGGGCAAAATGTGAAGTCCATGGTTGTCCTAACAACGTCACAGGTAAGGAGGACAATGAGGTGAGAAGCATGTGGAAAAGGAGCAGGATTAAGTGAGTAGTACCAGTATCACCAGCAGGGAGGCCCAAGATGTGGAGATGGAAGGATCTCCTAAGGGATCTCAGATCCTAGGGTGAGTAAAATAATTTTGATTGAAAGGCACAGAAACACAATAAGCAAGGAATACTATGAAGCCTCATTAAAAATATGCATATGATGGTCCTTATGGGGGAAAAAAGTATTTTCTCCCATATTTCACAGATGAGGGTTAAACCTAGGACATCTTGCTTCCTTCTGCCCTTTCTCCTGGCCCTCTGTGCTGATTTTCACTCTGTGCGTGATATAAGTGGGAAATTTGTGTTTCAGCCACAGTGCTGAAACTAGGCACAGTCTGTGGACAAACATACATTTTGAACCTTTAATGTTTGAAGAGGGCAACAGCTGCTATATTTGAACTGTTACATGTGGGCCATGCTGGGAACCATACAGCTTTCTCAAAGTCACTTCAGCTTTAACCCTGGATGAAGCTCTATTAATGCTGGAGCAGGTGTGCTACATTTGTATGATTCACCTAACAATAAAAACATTCCCCATTTGAAATATCTGCAATGTATGTGCATCCATACCTTCAGCAGCCTATGAATCCTGCATATGACACATTCCTTTATCATAAGACTTGAGCAATATAAGGCTAAGAAGTCCATACCAAAATATCATGAAAAATTAGGCAAACAGTGGACCTGGGATCTAACAATACAATGGAGCTGCTGTCTCTATGGACAGGATTTTGTAAAGAGGGTGCAGGAGCAGCTAGTGGCACTACAGAGTGGGTGTACCCTGCTCCCAGATTCCCCACTGTCACCCCCCAACACAGTGAGCAGAGCACACCACAGGAGCAGCATCCAGGGACTTTTGTTAACTCCCCAAAGCAAGCAAGAATCCTGCTGCCACCCCACTCCTCTGCCACTCCCAGCACCCACTCCCTTCTCTTCCCATTCCCTGCTTCCTCTGCCCAGCATGGGCACTGTCCCCGCTGTCCTTGGCTGATCTGAGTGCAGGTAGAGATCCAGAGCTTCACCTGCCGCCCTCTGATAAGGCTGCAATGGGAGTCAGGGCCATCAGTGGTGGTGGCAGGCAGGTTCCCCCTACTTGAGCCTGTTCCCAGACATACAGGGGACAGGGAACAGGGAGGGGGAACACACATTCTGCCACTGCAGCTGCCCTCACCTGAGCATACAGGCCAGCTGGGACAGCAGAGACAGCAGTAGTGGTGGGACAGCTAGTACGGGAAGGGAAGGGATGTGCTACGGAAGATGGAGGGGAAGGAGTGGGGAAAATCTTCCCTGCTTTGGGGGCTTAAACATTTCTATGACCAGGTCACTAAATGCTTAGATCCAGGAATCAAGGTAGATGTCGTTTATTTGGCCTTTAAAAAGGCCTTTGAGACAGTATCCCATCCTATTCTTGTCTACTCCAAGATGAATATGAGTCATCAATGTGACAAAGTAATTAGCAGAGCTAACCGCACTTTGTCATGCATTAGTAGGTGCATCGCAAACAGGTCCAGGGAGGTGATGCTCCCCCTCTATGAAGCACTGGTCAGGCCACAGCTGGAGTACTGCATCCAATTCTGGGTGCCACAACTCAAGAAGGATGTGGACAACCTTGAGAGGGTCCAGATAAGGGCCATTCATATACTTAGAGGCCTGCAGGGAAGGCCCTGTGAGGAACGGCTGAGGGACCTGGACCTGTTCAGCCTCCACAAAAAAAGGTTGAGGGGGGATCTTATGGAAGTATGCAATTCACTGGGTGGGGTGGGGAAGCAGGGAATAGGAGATGCTCTGTTTACCAAGGCACCCCTTGAAATAACC